GACAGAGATTTGTCCTGACTGTGGGCAAGGCCGGAAAACTCTAGCTACAGTCATGGACTAATTCTTACCCCCATTTATAGTCTTGCTAAGACCACCAAATAATGTTAGGGGTGAGCCTGGGAAGAATTACCCACGCAGATAGATCAGTAAGTGACAAGCGTGAATGTTTCTTTTCTAGTGTCCATTTTCTCAGCATCACCCCAAAATCTCAGTGCCTTCATTTCTGATGCCACAACCCCAAACATTTATACGCCTTCGATCACCGAGGAGAGATGGTATGACCACAATGGCAGCCACCACTCCTTGACCCTGTCCCTACTGCGGTGCTATTCTAGGCGCCCATACCTCAGGGCTTTTTCTTTTTTTAATCAAGATGTTGTTACCTAGGAGACTCTCATTCTCCATGGGCGGATGATTTATTAGCTCTTTAAACACATTCACATTGCCTTTCAACCTGGTTTTTCAACCTTTAGAAATTCCAAGTTCTACTTTATTCTGATTTAGTGTCAGTGACAACCAGCAGTCAGCTCCCTGGCTAAGAATGAACTCATCAGTGTGAACTGTTGTTCCACACTGACAGGATCCTCATGGGCTTCTGCATCTGCTGCCACAGCCAAGACAGAGCTGACTACAGGCACACTGCTATCCTGATGCTAGCGGCAATTGCTGATGGGCCTATCTGTCCCTGGGTCAGGGAGCCTCACTGCTCTCTGGCCACCATGCTCCATGCTCTGCTCTCCAGAGACACCAACACCTTGATACAAGACAATGAACCAAACCAGCCTGGGCTCCTCCCACCAGGTGCCATAGCTCTTATCTTCAGTCACTCACAAAATTATGCCCAAATCTCATATTCGATATTACCTTTGCTTATCGAGTTACAGACTCAGGAAAGTAAGTGATTTTTAAAAATCTTGAGAGGTATTAAACTCTAATATTTATAGTATTTATGAGAATAGACAACTTCCTACATGAAGGTAGGTGTATGTGTGGGCATGTGTATATATGTGTGTATGTATGTGTGTATGTGCATGTGTGGGTACATATGTGTGTATTTGTGTGTATGTGCCTGTATGTGTGTGCATGTGTGGGAATGTATATGTATGTGTGTATATGTGTGTATGTGTGTGTATGTCAACATACATGAACATGTTTCAGAGAAGTAAAAAAGTACTATTAGGAATGTCAGACAGGAGAAACTTTTGGGGCTGAATGTAACATATTTTGGGGTGGATATGACCAAAATATATTTCATATATGTATGAAATTCTCAAAGAACTAACTAATTTTAAAAGAACGAATGCAAAAATAGAACCAGTATTTAGAAGCTGGAGTCATGGGCATCTCGTTCTCTTCATCCTGTGGTGGCTTTCACCATCTCTACTCACTCATGAACCTGTGGCCTGTTCTCTTCTTAAAAGACATCTCTACTGTCTAATTCCTTATGATCAAATTCCCTGGATGTATTTTCCCTGGAGTCTTCCTTATGGCCAGTACCTTAAGGAATCTATTCTTCAGTTTTATCACTACACAGGGGCACATGTCCGTCAAAGCAGGTTCTTACAAAGCATCTGCTTAAATGAGGGAGTTCTCCACAGGACCCAACTGTCAGTACTTGCTTCCCATTGGTAGTGTCATTGAACAGAAACAGCTCCCATCACCTCGAGCCCATGCCTAGTCCCATTTCCAGTGTGCCTTCACAGCTTTCCTCTGGTCCCCTCTTACACAAGAGGATGGTGGAGAGGCATTTCATGTTTTTTTTATGTTCCAGATAAAACTCATTTTTATCAATGGACAGTGTATTGATTTGTTTCTGCAGTTCTGTTTCCCCTTTGTAGATTGCCCAGAATTATTTGTAAGCATTTTGATTATGTTTTTCCCCTTTATTTTAAATAATGTAGGCAACTTTAAATGAATAATAAAGAGGGTTTTTGTTTTTTTGTTTTCTCATGAATCTGAAAGTAATGAAAATGAACTTTGGTATTTATCTAACTTCATTACCTATGACAGCCAAGCAGAGTGTTGAAACTATATTTATATTTAATGTTGTCATAGGATGTCTAACATTGAAATAAACTATAGTTAAAATATTCATATTTTGCTGGTAGTTTTTTTGAAACAGGCTTTTAGTACATGTGACTAAGGATAAATATTTTTTAAATCAATAGCTACAGGGAACAGGAATCACAAGTGGCCAAATCACTGAGAATGAATTATAGCTGTTGAATTTCCAGCTATAAAAGGACATGCATACCACCCCCGCTACGACTCGGGGAGCATCATGGAAGAAAGGGTAGAAAAAATGTGAGAGCTGGAGGATGTGGGAGGAAAAGTATAGAACAGTCTGCCCCTTTACGCCCCCTAATTCAGCGTGATGATTATCAGAATAAGAGGATAAATCAAATTATTCATCACAATGAGACTAATAGTAACTTAGACATCAGAAACCATTTTCCCAAAAATTAGAATTATCCACTTCTCGTAAGATTATGGCTAGGGAATTAAACTGGCCAGAATAAAATTTAAAATTAGAAGATAATGAATTATTTCAAATAATTCCACATATTTCAGAGCACAAACAGCTGTAGACAATGAGGAGAATATATAATAAATCTGGTTCAAAAGGATAGTTTTTGGTCAGTTAAAATGCCTGCTGCCCTTAATTGCTACATTTGCATTTTTAGGCCACGCTGTGTTCTTGAATATTTTAAGTTTATGTATAATACTCTTATTACATCACATGTAAATGTTATATCAGACACAAGGGGCAGAATAAAAGAGAAACCTGGATTGTAATGGCTGGTAAGTTTGATATGATCCAGGATTTTGTCCTTAATGACTTTCCCATTTCTCCTGTCCCCCCAGCTCATCCTTTATCAGACCCTGGGAATGAGCCTCCCTGGTGCCACGGAACATGAAACAGCATTTGGCCTCCATGTGTACAAACATGATGCTTGGCCAACAAGGGGAACTACAAAGTAAAGTTCCCAGAGAAAAAGGAAAGCCACACCTATGCACTGCATGATGTGGAGAGTTAGAATATTGCAGACCAGAGTCAAATTATGTTGGGCTAGTTTTAGACCCTTTAGGAGACAATCACTGTCCACCGCATGTCTGATCTAACAGCATTATAAGTAGAAAACCCTTAATAATGAATTCTTAGCAGACTGCTGCCTTCTACCAATTGCTGTGGGATGGTCTTTATGTCAAATGTGTTGCTCTGATTGGTCAATAAATAAAACACTGATTGGCCAGTGGCCAGGCAGGAAGTATAGGTGGGACTAACAGAGAGGAGAATTGAGGGAACAGGAAGGCAAAAGGAGACACTGCCAGCCCCCGCCATGACAAGCAGCATGTGAAGATGCTGGTAAGCCACAAGCCGCATGGCAAGGTAATTTAAGATGTAAGAACTAGATAGCTAGCAGCCAGAGCCATTAGACCAAACAGTTTAAATAATATAAGCGTCTGTGTGTTTATTTTATAAGTGGGATGTCGGACTGCTGGGGCTTGGCAGGACTTGTAGCGCTCCAGCTACAACCAATGCAAAGGCTTCAAATGCCATTAGCATCTGCAGAGCTTCCTCCGTTTTGCTATAACCCACCAACCTATACCCTCCAGTGTATTTGGTAAATACCTTGATTTATTATTGTCTTTGTTGTATCTATTAAAATTCCATGCAACCTCAACAGTGAAATATGTCTTTCGGGTCAATAGGAATCTGGTCTTGATCACTCATTTGGTTCAAAAACTACCCCTTTCTCTCCTTTTGAGGTGAGATGTATGTTTAATGTTGACAACATCACTCACTTCATCTTTTAAAAGAACAGGGTTCTATTTGATGTTTTTCCTAAAAATCATATTGCTAATTTTTAACATTACAAGAAGAACATCATGCTGTATATAATGCCCTTTAGTGGACATTTGAACTCTTACTGCATTATATATATACTCATGAACTTACCACAGACATTGTTGAGTTTAGCTGTGACTTATAATTACTGTAACAATTTTAACTGATTTTTCTTTTCTAGTCTTCTGTGTAGTTTCCTGAACAAAATAAATGGGTGCTGTATCAGTTTGAGCCATTTCTATGGTATTGAAATGTTGATATTAAACTTGAGCAAAGACGGTTTAAACTCAGCCTAAGATGATTACCAGTATTATCTTTCCAGTCTGAAAGAGTGAGAAGACAAACCCCTAAATAAGCTATTTTGTCCCCAACTAGAAATAATGAACCCAAGGCTTTGTTACCATTTTTTAAAATGTGAAAAAAAAAATTTAATTTTGTGCTAGAGTTTAAACATGGGCCTTGTGCATACATGCTAGACAAGCAATCTAGCAGTGAGCTACGTCCTCTGCCCCCATGAAATGTATGTCCCAAATGTATTTGGAGGATTGTGTTATTACTACTATAATTTAACTTTCTACAAAACTAGTTTAACCAAAGTCTTTACACATTATGGGCTGTCATTCCTAAGAATGACAGGAATATCTGGTACAGATCTCTAGTGCTGGGAGTGAGAGACTGCCTTTGTGAAAACAATGAGGAGTCAAATTTCCAAATGACACCTGGACTTTTCAGAGATGTCACCTTCCAACACCATCCCCCCTCCCCCAACCCAGTTGATAGTAACCCCCATATCTCGTGTAACACTAAGCTTGATCACTGTCTGCTTTTGCCAGTGAGAAAACTTGATTCAGAGGTCCTTGAGAAGGTGCTAGCACATTCCTCTTTCCTATCTCACTACGTTGCACTGCCGTGTGAGCGTGCCGCGGCTAGTCAACTGGAAGGTGGTGAGATGCACGTGGAGGAGTCATGGCAGGCAGCACTGTCCTAGAGCAGGTCAAACTGACTAGCAATTACCTTCAGCCCTGTGTATACACTTAGCTGGAATCAGCAAACCCTGTCCAGACAACCAGAGCACAATAGTCAGCCTACCTAAGACCTGGCAAGAAAATGTTAAGTGCTTATTATTTTAGCCATGAAAGATTTGAGGGAGAGTTACACTTTCTAGCTGGAAGACTCCTCAAAATGGTCTAGGTATGAGCACTAACCTAATGGATGTTAGGTTTCTCCTTCCCAATGTCTACTTCTGCTTCTTCGAGAAATACTCCAGGATAGATTTCCGTCCTTCCTATTCCCAATTCTCTATATTTCTCCTTCTCCTTCTCCTCCTTCTTCTCTTCCTCCTCTTCCTTCTACCTCTCCTTCTTCTCCTTCTCCTCCTCTTTCTTCTTCCTTTTCCTCTTCCTCCTCCACCTCCTTCTTGCCTTCCCTCCATCCTTTCTTTCCTCACCCCCTCGTGTGTGTGTGTGTGTGTGTGTGTGTGTGTGTGTGTACACATGTGCACACTTTCTCTTTTAGACAAGTCTCATTATATAATCCAAATTGATCTTGAGCTCACTATGTATCCCAGACTGGCCTCAAATGGATGATCCTCCTGCCTCAGCCTCTCAGTGCTAGGATTATAGGTGTGCCTTCTTGCCTGGCTTATCTTTGCTTTCTTGATAGGCATTGCTGTCAGAGTATAATCAAACCAAAATGATTACTAAAAGGCTGTTTGCATGTCCTTGTTAAAAGAAGAAGTTTAATTTTGAATACTTAACAGAAGTGAATTTTAGTTCTGGGATAGAACTTAAGGGGTGAGAGAGAATATTGAGGGATTTTTGTTGTAATTTGGTTGGGTTTTTCGTTTGTTTGTTTGTCTGTTTAAAATGTTCCTACCCTTTTGATATACCAGGATAGTAAGGAAAAACAAAATGAATGGATAGTTGTTAGAACAGGTTGAATGGTTCTTACATTGAATGTAAATACTCTTCATGGGCATGGGTGATACAATTTCCCCAGGTCTTACCAATTTGATTCCATGTTAATTCTAATAACTCACCATATAAAGAACCTCATTTCTCCTCATAGGTTTGCATGTTTATATTAGAGGCTCCCTTACATGCACCGTGACTATGCTGTTACAACATCACCATGTAGAATCTGACTGTTTTCCTTCTCTGATGCACTCGGCGGGGCCCACTGCAGATGAAGCTGTTTGAGACTGCTTCAATTTCGAAACTGTGGATTCTGATGTCTGTACTAGCACTGATAACTCCAGTGTTTCTGATTTAACTCACCTTCATGTGCCACACCTGAGCAGAAGAGGGAGGAATAGTCTTCAGTTATTAAAGTCTCCCATTTAGATGCATCTATGCTGCCAAAGAAAAACCTGAATCAGTCACATCATACCCAAAGCTAAACAGTTACAACAGATATCTTATTGTCCTCTTCTTCTCATCCTCTTTTTATTTATTTATTTGTTGGCAATCAACCTCCTCCCATAATAATCAGGTCATACAAATAAAACTCTGAGACCACACACTCTATTAGCTCATTAAATCTTCCATGGTTGTCCCAAATCTCAGTGGTAGGTTCAACCTAGGATCAAAGATGGATAGGAGTCCCTTTCCCCCTCCATTGCCTTAGGATGCTGTGTCTGAAGACCTCATGTGGATACTATGCTTTCATCTTTGTTCTCTCACCAAATGATCAGATCATCATAGACATGGATAGGTCTGAGCCCTTTCCAATATCTCATTAATCCCTTTAGTCATCATCCCTCTGGGCTTCAACTATGAAGGAAGAAAGAAACTCAACCTCCCACATACCCACTCTCCAGCAAAGCAACCATGACTACCTATTCTGACATGGGAAGTACGTGATACCTATTTAATGAATGAAGGAATGTGGAAACACCTCCCCACTGACCCACAACTTCAGACTCAAGGATTATTAAAGCAGCAAAAGCAGGGAAGGAAAAAAGGCCAAAAATGTGGAGGAGTGGCTGATTCAAGCTGCATGGTGCCCAGAAAATTTACACACACTCAAAGACAGGAAAGAATATAATTGATACTAAAGCATGACCAAATACCATTCCTTTCTTTTTCTATTCTGCACCTCAAGCTCTTTATTTCCCTCTACACAAGCAGTGTGTGTGTGTGTGTGTGTGTGTGTGTGTGTGTGTGTTTGTGGTATGTGTATAGGTGTGTGTGTGGTATGTGTATAGGTGTGTGTGTGGTATGTATGTATGTGGTATGTGTGTATGTGTGGTGTGTGTGTGTGGTATGTGTGTATGTGTGTGTGTATGTGTGGTGTGTGTGGTGTGTGTGTGTTATGTGTGTATGTGTGTGTGTATGTGGTGTGTGTGTGTGTGTGTGGTATGTGTGTATGTGTGTGTGTGGTATGTGTGTAGGTGTGGTGTGTGTGTGTATGTGTGTGTGGTATGTGTGTAGGTGTGTGTGTGTGTGTGTGTGTGTGTGTGTGTGTGTGTTTGGTATGTGTGTAGGTGTGATATCTAGCAAGTATCACAACCAAAGCCATACTTGCTCTCATCTCCCTGAATTTTAACCTATTCAATCTTGCTTAGTCTGTATTCCCAACATACTCTGCTCCACCAAAGAAGTTATGAGTACCTTCCTTTTAATAGCTGATGATAACACCATCTCACCCAACAGCATTAATAAATGAACCATAGAGTAAAATGACTTATTACAGCTTTGCATGATAGTAAAACACTTAACATTTTGTTAAAATATTAGCTGAGGTCATAGTAGAGGGAAAAAAATCAACTGGGTTTGGGACTTGGTAGCAAAGGTCTTTCAGTATTTGAGCCAATGGGAAATATCTTCCTGTTTTTTCCATGGCAGCCCAGATCAACCAAAGCCAGATTGCCAGAACAAAGCCCCTATGACTTTTAGCTAAGAGCACTTGAAACTCAAATCACTTTGGGTATTTTTATAACATCATGGAGCATATCCCAAATATTTTAAACTGAAAGCTTAGCTCAAGACTACTTATTCCTGGTTTGGATTTGTAAAGTTTCATGTTTCTGGATTGAAAGCAATGAAATATTCATCTTCACTGTGCAAGTTAAAAACATGTCATTCCTTGTGAAACAACTGGTCAGTTTAAATTGTCTTTTAGAGGTGGGCGTAGTGATACATGCCTTTTATTCCAGCTACTCAGGAGGCTGAGGCAGGAGGACCACAAGTCTGAAGACATTCTGGGCCACATAGCAGATCCTTCTCTCAAAATCAAATGAATGAATGAATAAATGAATGAACAAATGAATTCTTGAATAGTCTTTTCAGCTTTATAGCTACTAGAAGACCAAAAGTCCTGACTGTAAGCATATAATTCTGCAGGGTCACTTCTAACGAGCTTAAGAAACTAGTTTCTGGGATCTTCTGTATAGCATGATGACCACATGTAAACATTTCACAATAAAAAGAGAAAGAGAGAGAGAGAGAGAGAGAAGAAGAAGGAGGGAGGGAGGAAGGAAGGAAGGAAGGAAGGAAGGAAGGAAGGAAGGAAGGAAGGAAGGAAGGAAGGAAGGAAAAGAAAGGGGGAGGGAGGGAAGGAAAGAAGAAGTGAGAGAGGGAAGAGAGAGAGAGAAAGAAAGAAACTAGTTTCTGACAAACTATGACAAGCTTGCTTCTTTCTATAAAGTAGTATATCTCCTAGGCTCTTTGTCCAGTGTCTAATGTCCACATACAATAACAAATCACACACTCATAATTTCATGTATTTTAGCATCTGTTTATTACATCAAGGTATTCATATCTTCATGTTAGTTTCTATCTTAACTAAATTACATAGGGAGAAATCTTTTCCTATCTTCTACCTCCATCTCTTTCCGTCCTTTACTCTCCAGCATCTGAGAAAATAAAATGAGAAAAGATGGATAAAAAAAATGGAAGGAGGGGGTTGTAGAGAGGACTCAGTGCTTAAGAGCACTGGATGCTCTTCCAGGGGACCTGGGTTCCATTCACAGCACCCACATCAGGAAGCTTACAGCCACCCATAATACCAGCTCCCAAGGATCTGACGCCCTCTTCTGGCCTCTGTGGGTACTGACTGCATATGATGCACATAAACACATGCAGGTGAACATACACACATACACATAACTAATAAAGCAAATAAATACACCTTAAAAACTGAAAGGAGAAACAGTTTCAAAAGCTTGAAAAGTTAACAGTGTTTTTAAAAATATTTTTTAATCCCACTGCCTCCATTTATATTGAGAACTTTAGGCTCCAAATGACCAAGGAGCTCATTCAGGTCCTGGGCAGAGAATGAAATCATGCCACTGGTTAATGTCCTCATATGCCCTACATCTGTATATTTCAAAGCTAACTTCAGTTGTTTAGCCTGATGATGTCAGCAACACTGCAGATGTTTACAGACTTGCCTGGAGAAACTAAACAAAGATGAAGTAGTACCTGGCTGTCTCTTTGATTCTTGTTCCCTACCATGAAAATCTGAATGGCACATTGTCAGCCAAACTAAAAAGAAGCCAAACAAGACTTAATAGTATTCAGATAGGAATTCAAATCTCCAACATTTATTGGAGTCTTACTATGCATTTTCCATGCCAAATAGTTTACATTCATTTCTTCATGGATTCTTAGGACATTCCTAAGAAATAAACACATTATCGCCTTGTCTTGGGCCATTCAGGTAGCTGCAAGAAAATATCATAAACTGTCTGCTTATGAAAACAGAATAAGACACCAACAGGCCATCCATCTGCCTAAAAGATAAGATAAGCTCATTCTATTTAAAATGGGAAGGATCACATCAAGTTATAAGCAAAAGTATCAAACTAAAAATAGATAGTATGGTTGATATCCTTAGCTTCGTGGGGATCCTCTCTTTTTGCTTAGAAGCCTAAAACATTTGCCTGTTCCTTGAAATTTTAGTAGTTGTAGCAGAATACATCTGATTATCCCTACAGAAAGTCAAAGCACTTGAGAGGCATATGTCAATAAGACACACATTTTCTATATTACTATATATTAAAATGGTTTCTTCTATCTTTACAGAAATTTCAAAAAAGATGAACATTATAAACAAAGCAAATGTGAACCAGGAAAATTAAAAAATAAGGCAAATTAAGAAAAGAAAGGTTTGAAGAGACCTGATAGGACCCAGGAAATAATTAAAAATGCTACTAATTTTTTTTCAGAAGTTAAGAACAAGAATAAGTAACAACATGGTAAATATCTTAGGAAAGGTGACTGTTCAAGGAAGTGGGCTTAGAAGAAAGGTGAAGTTTGACTGGACACATAAACACAATATTGAATTTGAAGGAAAAATATTGAATATAATAATGCTAAAATGCATAAAAAAGAGAAAATTTCTCAAAACAAAATAGAGCAAAAACTATATCCTGAATAGATGTACTTCACATCTGATAAAACAGACCCCCAACAGAAAATAACCAGAATATTCTGCTAAAGCTATTAAACTTTCAGGGAAAATGTGGAAATATCATTATATTTTACTAGAAATTATAGACTACAGAAAACCATGCATACTAACTATAAACTTTTCAAGGAAAATATAAATAAATAAAAGACTTTATACCAATTAAATTCAGCATTCAAATATAAAAATATATACAGGAAGTCAGACAATGTTATTCCTGAGGAACTTACCCAAGAAGTTTCCAACTAAAGGATGGTACAAAAGAGTAAAATCCTGGACTGAAGAGACAGCTGAGCAGTTACAAGCATGTACTGCTCTTCCAGGGAACCCAAGTTCAGTTCCCAACATGCAACCTGTAACTGCAGTTCCCGGGAATCCAACCTTTCTGGCCTCCATGGGCATCTGTACTCACTTGTACTTACCCACACTCAGACACACACTCACAATTAAAATACATTTTTACAAGAGTAAATACCTTGTCATGAGACTAGCTGCTCCAGCATTGTAGATTCACCACAACTATCAAAACCAAGAAAAAGTAAAAAAAGCTCACCAACTTTAGTCAAAAGAGTAAAAACACCCATGTTATAGAAACAGAGCCTTTTGGTGTGGGAGACGGGTGGTGCATAAGATTAGTAAGGTTAATAAAAGCCATGTAGCTCTGTTATGAACTGAATGTTTTGTCCTTCCCCCATTCATACATTGATGCTGAACCATTTGGAGATAACTAGGGTTAAATGAGATCATAAAAGTAATGCCCTCTCGGTGGGATCCATGTCCTTTATAAGAAAACAATCCATAAATCTTTCCCTGCCAAATCTTCACACTGAATTCGCAGTGAAGAAAGACCATATGAGAATACAAAAGGTCTGTGGGTCCAGAGAGTTCTTACTAGAATTTGATCTTGATGGCACCCTGATTTTTTACTTCCAGTTTTCATAA